GTGGGGGGGGGGGGGGGGGAGGGGGAAGGAAAGGGGAGGGTGTGAATGCGGTGCTCATGAAGGATACAAGCTTGACAGCCCTAAACACCAAGGTCTTCTTTTAATTCATAAGGTAACATGGCACCAACTCAGTAAAGTAACTCTCTCCTTAGCCACACTGTCATTTGATAGCAAGTGCTACAATACTGATATAGGTCCCTTGGTCTCTCCAAACCAAAATAACTTCCTTGTTTTCCAGACAGACAGCAAGTTCTCATTGTCATGTCTTCAGGCTGGAACGGAGTTGTAATTATTTTGTTCTACAGTACAAAACAAAATGCAAGGCCAAACTTCTATCTGGAAGACTCAAAATGTTTGTGTTTTTCTTCTTTTGCAGGAACTTCTCATACCTGCTAAGCTAACACAGAAGTATGAGAACCATAGGTGAGTTCCTCAAAAAGTCACATTAATTAGGAAAATGCAGCATCTGCTCAATCCATAATCACATTTGTAATAAACGTGAACTCAAATAACAATCTCCTATGATCTGTATGTGCTGTATCAGACCAGCTCTCCATTTCTCAAATGGAAGCTATTTTTCAAATAACCACCTAACTGAATAAACAGAGAAAGAGCAGAAAATAAAAAAGCAAATAGTGACAATTTCTACAAAAGAATTTTTAAGACCACATACACAGAACATTTAAGTTCTGATTTTGTTACTCAAACTTTGATGCACTGTCAGTCAATATTCCTTGTAGATACCCTTAGAGAACTTAGTGAAAGCACTGTAAAGGTGATGGCATTTAGTGACCCAAACATAAAACCATAGTTTGGACATTTGGTAAAAGTCATCTCAGGAAAGGGAACACGCACAGGGTATTATCATCACTGCATAACACCCTTGGTATTTTACAACTTCCACAGAACAGTCTGTTCCTTAAGTCCCAGAAAGCCAGAGAACAGTTACTTCAAATTATCTTTACAGTTGAAAATCGGCATTTGTCAGAATTTAACATAGCTGTAGGTAAACAGAATTAGCAACATTTGTTCTGAACAAAGAAGCACATTCTGTTCCCCTGTCCCCTCCCCAAAACAAAGGCAAAATGCAGTTACTTTGCTCATCACGGCTCCCAGACCAAGGACACTGAAGCTTTGTAGACTGCAAATTCCTCATCGCACATGATGCACAGTTATACAATTGCACGGGGTACCCAGCACAAAAGCATTGACCCAACTGCTGATTTTTACTCAACACGCACTTCCCATGTACATTAAGAAGAAATTTAAGGTATTATGCTGCACTTAAGATTATGCAATTTTAATGATAACAAAATCAATAACAGAAAAAAAGAAAAACAGATACTGTCCAAGATTTTATAAGCAATGGGTTGAGATGAGGCATCCAAGAACTGATGCTTGACAAGAAAAAAAAAATAAAATCTAAAAATCCTTTAAAGTTGTCGGACTTTCTTATCAGTGCTTTTAATATTGACATCCAGTGTCTCTACTTTTTTTGTTAGCCGATCCAGTATATCATCTTGCTCATCTATTTCTGTCTGCAGCCCAAGAGCTAGGTTTTTCAGACGACTCAACCCAGAAGACATCTCATCTGTCAACAAAGAGAGTGACCATAAGGAATCAAAGCAGTATAAAGCACACTGTTTAAATGGACACTGTCACAATTTCCTCTTCTCCAAATCCTTGAGTTAGAAAATGTTAGTTACAAGTGTTCAAGTCTGAATGTTCTCCAGCAGGGGAAGCACCAATATATTAATACTTTCACTGCATTACTACCAGAAATAATCACTTCCTTTTTTCCATTACAAGTTAACTGCAGATGCTTAAAGCCAAATTGGATCTTTATAAAGGGACATACCCCGTAATATAGTTTTAAATTAAAATTATATATATAAATATATATATATCAAATTGGGTACATTTTTTCTCAGCTCAATACACTCAATGTGCTCATACCTCAATTGTTTTCCTGTAAACTTCATGCAGAGATACCAATACACTGACCATTTAAGCAGTTATTTAACACAGATAAAATCCAATTTTCTAATTTGGCTACAGAGAAACTATTTTATTGCATGTTTGACTGGTAAATGCTTTTGAGGCTAATATGCTTTGCACAGCTTGTGAGTAGAACAAACGTGCTTCCTCTAACTCTCACACTTGTCTATTTCTCTTTGATCCATTCCTTTCTGATTTCTTTCCAATCTCTTATTTCTAGCTCAGCTAAACAGCAACACATGTAAGCAAAGAGGCGCTTTGTATATATGCTGCAGAACAAAGGAAGAAGAAGTCAGCTGAATGGGTTTGGGAAGTAATGAAAGCAACGCAGCAAATTCACAAATCAAATATTTAGTGTCTTTCAATTCTTTCATTTTCTGTGGAACATGTTTATTTCAAAAGCTGCACACAATTGTAAATTCTTTGGGTCCAAACTGGTGTACAATTTAATAACTGAGTTTAACAGCCAGTTAGGTAAGTTGAGTACATCTTTCAATATAAGTAGTAAACTTTAGAAAAAGAGGCAGTAAGTCTCCACACTGGTATAATCTGGATGCCAATTTGAAGCAGTATTTCCTTACAATATTGCTACACATGCTTAAGATTTTTCAGAACTGCTTGTCCCAGTGATATCCCAGTCAACTTACAGGATGATTCAGAGAAGCATTCATATCTTGAATTGCAAGTGTTACGATACTTAAGCACCACTTCCTCTTTCAAACAACAGATTTCCCAGCATATTCACATTTGGTAAGAGTGTTTTTCTTACTGTCAATAAATGATCTAAGAGGATTCATGCTTTTGGTGTGTGATTTTTTTTTTCCCCTTGGTTTCTTTGCTCAGAGACAGCTCAAAACCTATTAATTTCTAAAGCACAGCATGTTGCAGAAGAATTTGAAGTATTGATGCCAATAGCATATCAGTTGCCACAGTAGATTTTCACTATTCCAGGCATCCTAGCCAGTTTGTTTCTAGCTAGTTTTAGGTGAAATGCATTTCTAACTCAGATTTAATAGTATTTACAAGTAGTTGACACACACAGACCCCACAGCATTCTACCAGTCAAATAATGTATGTTTTAATCAAACTTTGCATTCTGCCACATAGATAGATCTGAAATGCAAAATATAAGCAAACATTTTTTTTTTAATTATCAAATTCCACCTGTGAACTAAACTAAAAAGTCTTCATTGGCAATATGTTAGTAATTTTCCCTGGCTAAAGAACCAAAAATTGAGAATTACATTACATGAAACAGCTTCAGTTCTCTCACTCACCTAAGTTGTTATCAATTTTCTGGTGGTAAGCTCGCAGGTGTTGGTTCTTTGGATAGGAATCCCTTGGTGCTGGAGAAATTAAATCTGCTTTGCTGAAATCATTGTCTGTTAAGAGTATAAAATACAAAATATTATATAAGAAAAAAGGTGGCAAGAAGATGTTTTAAAGTTTTAGAAGGGTTATTAAAAATGAGTCTGACCACAGCTGCTGTGTAAAACCATAGCATGTTAGCAGGAGTATCAAAAGTAGTCCAACACTGCTATCTATAGGGCATTCCTCAAAATGAACAGTTATTAAGCTATCATTATTCTATTTTGAGCAGCCTTTTGTAGTTCTGCTGGGAAGTTGGGAGTAATAAGAACAAAAACTGAGCCACCCAAGTAACAGAGCAGGAGGCTGGTAACTTCTGGCAGAGTTAGTGTTCCCCCAGGACAAACCACCAGAATCGAGTTACTTCTGCCCTCTATTGGACAGACTTTTAATATTATGCGGTGTGGAATGGAGATTAACTTTTCCAAAAAGCTTCTTTACGTACAGAACTACAACTATAAAGATACCCTACTGCTTTCTTACTCTTAGCAAACTCAATTGAGCCTCACTTTAAGAAGGAACAATTGTTTTGAACACAGAAGTCATCACAGAAGTTAATACATTGTGAGAACAGGGAATGAGATCAAAACCCATACACTTCCCTGCATGAATTAAGTAATGACTTCAGTGTGAAGGTTTATAGTCCTTGTTTGAAATAACAAGGAAAACATATCTGAAAACTATGACAAAGGATGGTTAAAAAGAACAACCTCCAATGCATGTTAGCATTTTGGCAAGCACAGGACAAGGCTGGCTGCATGTCATGTGGATTCCTGGGCTACAAAGAGTTTTAACAGAAACAGTTCCCTATAATTCAGAGTCATGAAGGCAGACATTAAGCAGCAACATAAGGCAGCAGCTGGGCAAGTTGAAGGGTCTCTACCTTCACCCTGCATTGATGACAGACACAAGTGTAAAATAAAGTTACAAACCTATATCTAGCTTCCTTAAGTTTGGATGACTTTCCTGGTATTTTGACTCTTGCTCTTTACTAGACATCATGGCTTCTTTTAACCTAGTAACAAAGAATAAAAACATTTCTAAGGACCACAAGCCTCTTTCTCAATCTATTAAACAAATTAACAGGTACCACATTTATACAAGAGCAGCACATTTGTTACACCAGATCCAATATATTGCTTTAAAATAAACTATTAGCATTTGTCTTCAGTGAAAGCAGAACTTTAGTGCTGAAAATAGCGCTGGTATCAAAACCAAAACTGTAACTTCTGTCTTGGAGGCAAGGTATTGCTTTCCTCTAGTGGAGGACGGAGGGAAAGGGAAGGAGGAAACCAATCCATGCACCACTACCAGCTTTTACATAAATTCCTCAGCTGAAGAGACACAAGTACTGTAAGACACTAATTCCACAGCAATTAATTTTTATTTACAGCTTTTAGTAGAAGCTAAAGAAACACACATAATACTTAACTGGAAGCATGTCAGTGCTACAAATGATGGTTTTCTGGTATGACTGAAGTACGCATGATAATTCAGAAGATTGAAGAATCACTTGTGTAATTTTCTGTAATTGTTTGAATTAATTTCTCAGTGTTATTCTTACCACTATGAATAGAAGTGAAAATATTTTTCTGACAGTTAAGGGGAAAAAGTGAGCTAGACACCATCTCAAGAGTCTACTTGACAGAATCAACAGATCTTTTAAGTTCTGATTTTGAGGTGATGTTTCAGAGATGTCGTGGGAGATAAGTCCCAAGTAAAATGCAGATTTTCCTTACCTACTGTTAGCATAATATTCAGGCATTCCATTCTGCTCCGGCTTGCTCTCTGGAGGTTTGGCTTTGAAGTAGTTCACCAAGCCCCCCCAAACACTCTTAATGCTGTTTATGTGCCTTTGACTAGTCTTCAAGTCCTGGTCCATTTTATCTACCATCTGCTCTGTTCGCTTCAGTGCCTCCCCTTGTCGTACAAGCTCCTACCAGATATTGGCAGAAAAAGAGAACTAATTAAGCCAAGATAAATAGAAACATCAGTAAACTGAAACATCAGTAAACTCTGAAGAAAAATAACAGTACCATCATCCCACGTAGATTATTTCTGAAGGCATACAGCTTTTTCACTCACTCCTCTTCCCCCAGGGCATTTCAGTCATGAGATGCTAATCACCAATAGCATTAGCCAGCTATAAAATCCTCATCACTACGCAACACCAGGTTCCCAACACCTACTACAAACAGCATCCAGGAATTTTCTGTATCAGCCTTTTGTCAGGTTGATATTTGTGCCTCTTCTTGATGGAACAAGCATGGCACCCGATGGGTGATGTAGTGAAAATGCAAAGGTTTGCAGCAGGGAAATGAGCAAGCAGAACTATTTCTACTTGAGAATGACATCTTCATCAGGAAGTTAATACTCTTTTAACATTACTGGGATACTCCTGATAATTTAGAAACAGAATAACCAAAGGCAATAAATGCATGTATGATTTTTTCATACCACTATTTGAACTAACACTAACAGTGCAGAGTTTAAAAATGTTGATATATACAATTATGTTATTTTCTAATTCAGCAGCACAAACATTATTCCGAGGTAATCAAAAGATTAATTCTGGCAGAAAAGTCACTTGCAGCTCACACTAGTGCAAAACAAAGAACTTGTGTTCATATTTATTTAGAGAGTCTAAACTTCAGGAAATTCTAGTGGAATATTCTTGTTTTCCCCTCAATAAAGAAGCAAACACACATGATTCAAGTTTAACATGAGCCCTGTTAAGCCTAAATTCCCGATTCCTCAATCTGTGCTTTTCTGTGCAAATAAATCACGAATCCACAAGGTCAGTGAAGTGTCACTGGGGACCCTCTTCAGTACAAGCACCTGCGGCAGCCTGTGGGTGCTCTCAGGTTAATTTAAGCAACCACGTTACTAACGCTGAAGGAAACGTCCCATTAGCAGGTGACACAGTGGGTATGACCTCTCTGAACGATGCCTCTGAGGATAAACTATTCTGAAACAAGGCCAGAAGAATGAAGGAAATGATTAATCGGGACAAAGCGAGGCCATCACAACCAACCAAGAGGGCAGACTCTCCATTTAACCAAGGAAACTTTTTTGTCAGATAAAAATGGGTACAAATGCCATTAATAAGTCTTAGTAAGAGTTGATAAAAGCAGCTCGACACAGCCCAGTCCTAGTCTGTGTTATACCGATAAAGAGGGTCTAAGTGGGGTTTCTTCCCCTCAAAAATACCCTCAAAACGCGCCTCCACCCATAAAATCCGTCTGCAGTGACGCAGAGAGGTACACTGTGTCCGAAACTCTAAACAGGGGTGTTTCGGGAGAAGGAAAAGGACAACAATACGCTGTCATTCCCCCGGCCGGCCGGTACATCGCGACAGCTCCGGGGCCGACGGCTCCGTCCCCGGTCCGCGACCCACCTCAGAGGCGGCCACGCCGATGCGCTCGGACTCGTACAACAGCGAGAGGGAGCGGGTGGTGCTGTCGG